GGGGCATGCCATAATTCTGTCAGAGCTGTTCTCTCAAGGGCAGTTCTGGAAAGAGCTCTCTCAGCCCCACCTACCTCACAGTGTGTCTGTTGGGGGGAGGGGAAGGAGATTGTAAGCCGCTCTGAGACTCCTTCAGGTAGTGAAGGCGGGGCGGGGTATAAATCCAATGTCGTCTTCTTCCTCACTTAATCCCTCCCCTTCCACATCAATTGCACTGGCAATGATCAATACAGCCTTTAAAAAAAAAGTTTCACACCCTCGCAGTCAAATCACATGGTACAACTTTCTTTATTAAAAAATAATTTACATCAGTTTAACATTTTATGCACAGTTGTCAGCAAATCGAACTTTTGTCCTTTAAGATTTCTATACAATACTTATTAGTGAACTTAAAACTATTACACTGGTTTGTTGGCTTGAAAGAGCAGATGTTAAATTCGCAGTTGCTGAAATGCGAGGAACGATCGGTGTTTGTTTCTCGCTTTGAAAAGAGTTCTGAAACACTGTCCCGGATTTGGTGGTGGTGGGGGCCTTTTAAGAATACAAGCTCCCCCCCCAAACGAAGCTGGAGAGAAAGCTCAGGGGACGAAATACACGTCCAACCGGCACTGCCCTCAGAGATTTTTACACTTACTGTGATCTCTGGGTAAATTGCTGGGTAAAGCACACGGTGCTATTCGGCTAAGAGATGGACGAAATTCCCAAACCAATTATGACCGCGTGAAGAGTTGCTTCACGCGCCAGGAAAAATAAAGTGGAAAAAGAAAGCACCGTCTCTCTGTGTACCAAGACTAAAATTCATTTTGGCTAGATCAAGTGGGCGGGAGGCAGAATCCCTTACAAACTCACCCACAACAAGTGATTTGTGGACACCAAAATCCAAGACACACAGAACTCCCCATCTTACATACATTTTTTCTGACGTAATGCCTCCCAAGTTCATGGGGAGCAACCGGGAACTAGTTCTGGTCTGCTCCCAAGTTTGAAGAGAGCCTAGCGACTGCAGTTTTCTAACTCGGAAAGTCAATTCGGCGTTACCCACTTCTCTCAAAACGTCTTTGCGTTAATCTAACTTGTGGGGTGAACTGAAGGGGGGGCGGGCGGTATTACTATGAGAGCCTGAAGTCTTTGCAGTCCCACAAGATCAGGAAGGGTAAAAGCTGTGTACCTTTGGGCTGCGGCTCCTCCCTTGCCACCGACTTAAGGGCACAGAACGGGGAGCTCATGCTGTGAATGAAACTGGGGCAGCCTAAGGAAACGGGAGTGCTCTAGCATCAATATGTGGGCGTCCATGAAAACTAGATGGAATTTAAATCCGTAATACTGTTAACGCCTGTCTCGCTCCCAAAAACATACGGTACGGAAGCCTGTGTGTTAACTCCAAGCACACTATTTAAATACACGTTCTTCAAGGAAGACTCACAGGGCTCTGCGGTTAGGGGTTCAGTACTAGGAAACGCTGTGCACTTGATGAGGTCACATTGCGAGGATCCCCATAGCGAGTGCTTTGGGAATTAGGATCTCCAGTCAGCACAGAGAGAAGACGCCACCAAGCTGGAAAAGATGTATTTAGGCACCATTATATTGCAGGGCTTTTCTGCATTCTAATTTTCGTTGCTTGTGTGTTCCTGTTGCTTTGGGGGGGGGGGGGGTTCTCCCCTCTTCTGCACGTTTTTGATTCCTCTAATGGTCAATTTCATATTACACTGCTTAATGTCTGACGTAGCTCCCTACCGATTCAAACTGCAGGTTTTTATATCGGGCGTGTGCAGAACAGAACCCTCCACCCACCCCAATGCAACAGGAACGCACAAGCAGGGAGAATGAGAATGCAGAAAAGCCTGAAAATTTACTGTCTCCTAAGTAATGCCCGCCATTTATAACTGCCAAGACAGAACTGCGTCCTTCAAATATTTCATTCATTCATTCAGACGCCAATTATGGAGGTTGAGGCATGTTTCAAAATGTCAGTGTATTGACAGAAAAACTGATAGGAAGTATTTGCTTTTGATTAAAAACCTAACAGTGCAGCTGATATGGTAAAGATGAAGGGTGTGCAAAAAAAATATCATTTTCCAATTCGGGTTTATTGGACCTGAAAAATATCAGTATTCCTGAATACCAATATCGGTTTTGTATTGGGATTTGGATAAATATTTGGGAAACCCGAATTTATTTGGCTCCATTATACCCTATGGGTACTGTCCTCATAGGGTATAATGGAGAAGGGATTAAAATTTTAAATGTTTGCTGAGTTCACTCACCAAGTCATGCTGCGGCGGTGGCGCAACTCGGCACGTGAACTCAAAAGGCATTTAAAGAGATCTCTGATCTGTATTCGGCTGAATAAATACCCAAAAAATAAAGGTAAGTATTTTGGGGGTATTTATTCGGTTCGGTATATACTGAGCGCACACCCCTAGTAAAAACACTGAATTCTAAAAAGTACAGAAGACTTCCCCATCTGAAACTACATACACACAAAAAACGCAATCTCTTTACATATTTTATCCTGCTCTTTGCCTGAAAAGCAACCAAGATTTCAGAAGGCTTTACACAAGAGGTATTCATTTCAAATCAAAATTTCAAATTTGCCCTCTGACATGATACTTCCAAAGCCATCTGGACACTTACAGAGGCTAATATTTATCCAAATAAAAAGTTTATTCATTAACTCAATGAGTATTTTTTGTGGTGTATAATATCCACAAGAAGCATATTCTATTCCATAAAAGTTTAAAAAGACATATGCACACAAACCTCTTCTGTAGCCAGTACGCTGAACCAAAATTACCAAGGGGGATTTTTGAGGGCAGAAATCTCCAATGAATAATGCAGAGATTGGTGTCAGCGTCTGCTGTTCGAGATGATTCTCAAATTATGGGTTACCTTCTTGCTATTAAACTGCTTTCAACCAAATAAATCTGTTTTCAAAATGTATGGAATGCTTTAAGGTGTTGGTGGTGGGGACCTCCAAAAGGATTAATTGAAAAAGTCATGTCCTCTTTCAAGCCAAGTTGCCTTTTTGGCTGAGATACGGTTCAGACCTTTTCCAAATACAAATCGATGACCTGGTTTCCTAGAGCTAGCCCAATACAGTAAAAATGACAATAGGACAGATGGCGCGGTTATAGCAGGAAGTCGTAAGAAGGGATCCCCCAGTGGTTTAAAATAGGAACAGAAGGCCATGAAAAACGTCTTGGTTATTTAAAAAAAAAGAAAAGAGGTTGTTTTACAATCTTCCCTGGGCCAAGCCCAGCTCTGGCGTTTTCAGTCACACGCTAAAGCAGAAAGGGAGAAAACTGGAAAGGTGTGCTAGATTTAAAAAAAGAGAGAGTGGAAAGTGGAGGTTGCTGCCCACGTCTTCTGTGACGGCTTGCAAAGGACAGGCTGTGTTACAACTATACATCTCTGGCTAATAAAGGCAAATCACAGGAGGACTGCTGCTCCCTTTCAGCTCCTTTAAAACAGTGGGTTGCAGTATGTGATGCAAAGGCTGAAATTCAGGCCTACTCCAGCGGCCTGTCAAAAATTTGCCTTGTTTTGCATTGGGAAAGCCGTAGCATTTCGTTGTCCCGTTAATATTAATTTTTCTGAAATGGGTTAACGGCATCAGAGGACGCAGAAGTCTCTGTACCTTGCTGCTGGCTTCTTTAACCCTTCCAGCCTACAACTGGTAGGCTGGGCCCCGAGCCTCAGCTCTGCGAGTTTAGAAAATTTGGGTATCTGAATTCGGGAAAGCTGCGGGGGCCTTCGCGTTTCGAAATGCGTGCTGCCCCTCAAACCAACAAACAGTGACAGAAAAGGTGCAAGAACTGGGAGGAGGAGGAGGGGAAGGGGGAGAAGAAGCAGCAGCTAACATCAGAAAATCTTCCGGCTTAAAATCTTCGTCACAATTCAGTTTCAGTTTTTACGCAGCTTATTTACAGAGTGGCCCGAGCCAACCCTCCCCCCCCATACTTACAGCTCTCTTCCACAACACGCACATCAATTTTTTTTTTAGCAATGTCAATAGCACCATTTGAGTATCATTTAAAATTTAAAAAAAAAATCAGGAAGGATCTTGCCGCAGTCACTACAACGATTCACAATCTTTTACATCCGGGATGAAGTTATCTGAGCACGGTGGGGGCGCCGTATGCAGATCCGTCGGCTGCAGGGGGGTGCACCGGCCGTCGGAGGGTTGGCCCTTCCCCAAGGTTGTCAGGCTGGGCTCTACAAGAGCCTTCGGACTGTATAGTTGAGAATGCCGCCATGTCTGTACAATGTTACTTCCACGTCGTTGTCGAAAGCGGCGATCACACGGAATAGTTTTCCAGTATTTGTCTTCAAAGGAAAAGAGAGAGAGAAGCAAATCGACAACAATTAATTCGTTAAGACCGGTATTTTCCAAACCGGCTTTTATAAATATACAGAAAGTCCCCTATAGCTGCAGAGAGGCAGAAACTTCACCAGAGTCTGGAGCGCTACGGTAAGTGTATTTTGAAATATGGACATAAGAACGTAAGAGCAGCCTGGCTGGATCAGACCAGTGGTCCATCTAGACCGGCATCCTGTCTCAGATGGTGGCAAACCAATTCCTTTTGAGTTCCAACAGGGCACAGAGGCCTCAGCCTTCCCCTTATAAAAACAGAAGAACAGAAGAATAGCCCTGCTGGATCGGACCAGTGGTCCATTCAGTCCAGCATCCCGTCTCAGAGCCAGTTTGGTGTAGTGGTTAAGTGCGTGGACTCTAATCTGGGAGAACCGGGTTTGATTCCCCACTCCTCCACTTGCACCTGGCTGGATGACCTTGGGCAAGCCGTAGTTCTGATAAGAGCTGTTCTTGAAAAAAAGAGCAGTTTCTGTCATAGCTCTCTCAGCCCCACCTACCTCACGGGGTGTCTGTTGTGGGGAGGGGAAAGGAAAGGAGTTTGTAAGCAGTTCTGAGACACCTTTGGGTAGTGAAGGGCAGGGTATAAATCCAATCTCTTCTTCTTCACACAGTGGTCAAGCAGAGGTCCATCTAGTCCACCATCCTGTCTCACACAGTGGCCAACCTGTTCCTCTTGAGGACCAACAACAGGGCAGAGAGGCCAAGGCTTTCCCCTGATGTTGCTTCCCGGCATTAGTATTCAGGGATTTACTGTCCTCTGAATGTGGAGGGTGAACGTGATGAAGAAACTGAGGTCCTAGAAGCTCAACTCTTGCTTTACAAGTTGGTAGCTTGCCAAAGTCTACAGAGTTGGGGGGGGGGAGTCTGCCACAATGCAGTAAAATGGGGCCACAGTTCAAACTACTTTGCTTCAGGCCTTCCCTTTGCCTCAGAGCTTCTGATGCACCCGGCATGAGTTATTTTACATGGCACCTTTTGCCTTTGGTTCACCTTTGCTTTGTGAGGAGTTTGGTCAGCCTCTGGATCCTCCCCTATCGTTTTCTACTAATCGGCAGCCCCCTGCCCCAATCTTTTTTTTTTAATTTAAAAATATGAAAAATTTACATTAAAAATAACATCAACAATCCCTCGGGTTCCCCTCACCCCCCCATAATTTTTTTTAAAAAGTTCATATAAACTACTTTATAAAACAACAAGGATCTAACTCAATAAATTACTATAACTACACAGAACAGACTGTAGACCGAACATGAGGCTAATCAGAGATTTATCAGGTCCAAATTATCGGCCATACTGCCCCAATCTGATCATTTGAATTCATTCTGTCCTTTGACTTCTATGAAATAAAAAAAGACTCCCATTCACCACCAGCTCACAGCAAAGGAAGTCCCCGGCTGGTTTTTTGTGTGTGTTTTTTGGCAAGGAAACGAAAATCCTTAAGCAAAATGTGAATTTGTTAGGAGTGAGTGAATCAGATGACTGGACATCAAGGGGGTACAGGTGTTATCTCCTTGAATGGGATGCCTCTCTTTGTCTTAACCTGGGAACTGCCCTCTGACCCCTCCCCTGTCTCTCCCTTTGTCCTCTCACAGTCCCACATGGCCTTCCATGGAGACACATGTCTCTGCAGGTCTCTCTTGTAGAAACAATGCCCTCATACTCCCATACACACGATGCCGGACAAGCTGGCCATTTGTTATAAGGAAAGTACTCTTTAGATGAGGCTTCTTTCCCTTCTTTTGACTGCAAACTGAACCTGAATTGGATCTACTTGAATAAATGTAAGTTTTTACCTGTTTTGCAAGATACTTCTCGGGAGATTTATTTACTGCACTTAGTATGAGTGGGCAAACTCTGCTATGTTAACCAAGTATCCAAATAGGGTTATGGGCCCAGCACGCTTCCACTGTGCTGCTCGGCTCTATTAACCAAATATCCCAGTAGAGGTGAAATCTGAGAGAGCTACCTTTACGTCTAGGCTCATTCCAGGAGACAGCTTCTGAGGAAAGGAGACAGAAAACTGCTCTTTGCCGGTCAGGCCCAAAGAACTTGCATTTTCCCCCTCGAGGAACCGAAGCGGGGCGATGCCAATCCCGATCAAGTGCCCTTTGTGGATCTTCTCGTAGCTTTCGGCAATAACTGCTTTCACGCCCTGCGGGAAGGCACCACAAATGCACACAGTCACGCTCCCTTCCAAATAAATAAAAGTAAAATATCCTTCGCATGGAGGTCCAAGATCTCTGTAACCCAAATGTAGGACCATCTCTCACTCCAGGTAGAGAACTCGGGCTAAATGGAATATGTCTCAGAACGGGAGTGTGGAGAGAAAGGAAGTAAAAACCAAACAACTGTTGTGTAGAATAGAGAACACTGGCGGCTTCGAGCTTTGGGACTAACCAGATTCATTTGAGTGTAGATGATGTTACTGGATACACTGTCAAAGGAGGAAGGACTCTGGTCTAAATTTAACAGGAGTTTGGTATCCATACCAAAACAATGCCTTATTTAAAGAGTTGACCATCCTGAGTTTTTTTAACAGTTATTTCACACTCTTTAACTTGAAGGCTTCATGGTCGGTGTCATAACGATCTTTAATTAACATTTTTGGGCTTGTAGGCTGCATTTGTTGATAAGTTTTTATTTATTTATTTTATTTCACTTATACCCCGCCCTCCCCGCAAGCGGGCTCAGGGCAGCTTACACAGGCACAACTGTGCAATAAAATACAACAAGGTTAAAACAGTTAAGGCACTGAGTGCAATAAAAATAGAACAAGTTAAAACAATTAAAACAAAAACTCACATCTTGCAGGATACATTAGGAACTAAAATTCTCACTCCCTATTGTATATCACGGTGGGATCAAGAGGGGGGATGCCATGTGTCAAGATGTTCCAGATGGCCAGTCGGCCCAACCCGGCGGTCCTGCTCTGCAGTTACTCGGTGGTGGTGGTGACGACAAACCCCAAAATCGACACACACAGCCGACAAGCCCCAAAATCTCAATTTAAGATGGTTATTTCACTATATCAAGAACCAGCATGGTATAGCGGTTAAAGTGTCAAACTACGATCTAGGTAGACTCGGTTTGAATCCCCTCTCTCTCATGGACGTATGCTGGGTGATTTTAGGCCACTCACCCACTCTCAGCCTAACCTACCTCACAGGATTGTTGTGATGACTGAAAAGGAGGAGAGGAGAACGACGCAAGCTGCTTTGGGTCTCCAATGGGGAGGAAGGCGGGATATTTTAAAAGTAAATAAATAAAACTGTGGTCTCAACCAGTGTTCCCTCTAAGCTGAGTTAGTGTGAGCAAGCTCACAGTTTTTTAACCTCCAGCTCACACATTTTTGCCTTAGCCCAGGAAGGAGGGCTACGGAGCAAACTAATTTATGCAGTGGCCAAACCACTCGCTCACAACTGTAATGCCAGTCGCTCACAAAGTGAAATTTTTGCTCCCAAGACTCCACAACTTAGAGGGAGCATGGGTCTCAACTTGCTTGTTTGCAGTCAACCTAAACACAGTCATACCCTTCTAATGTGCTTAGAAGGTTTTTTAACACTGCTTAGGACGGCTCTGAAAAATGGTCAAAAACGGAAGATGGGTAATTTATTCGATTTTGAGCCTGCTCTCCAACCCTGAAGGATCCTAGGAGATAGCTTACGCAAGATAATAAACAGCAAATAAAATTGGGGCTGCTTCCATCCTCTCTGGTGCATTGTGTAGCTCCTGGCGTATCCAAGGGGTTCCCAGCATGGAGCACGACACCTTTCCTGGTGCTCGCCAAGTGCTTTTAGAAAGTGGGTGGGGCTTTTACCCAGCAAGGCTTCTGAGTGGCCACTGGATATTTGTCGGTGCACATTTTCAAAGACGTTGCTTGAACAGCAGCTGTCACCACAGCACAAGGGTCTTTCCTGGATGACTGGAACTACGCTGCCATTTTTGTGGCTGTGCCCACCACACTGTGTCGGAATCTCCAAAGGTGCCCGCCCAGCCTCAAAAAGGTTGGGGGACCCCTGGTGTAACCCCTGAAGTCACTGTCGTTGTTTTGACCATTCCTGAAGCGTCTCACTCTCCTGATTGCTGGCCGTTTTGAACTTTCAAAGGTCGGACAGGACTTATTTGTGTGTCTTTCAAGAGACAGACTGAAGTGGTGTAACCCCTGAAGTCACTGTCGTTATTTTGACCATTCCTGTAGCGTCTCACTCTCCTGATTGCTGGCAGTTCCGGACAGGACTTATTTGTGTGTCTTTCAAGAGACAGATTGAAGTGAAAAAACGGACTGACCCTGAAGAATGCTTAACAGAAAATAGCCTGACGTGACAAGGGTTTCTAGGACCTTCATACTTATTAATACAATTAACAAATGTACCAGTAAAAAAGGTCCTTTGGCAGCCCAGTCTCTGGAGTTCCCTTGTCCGTACTTTGCGCCTGCCAAGATAATCAGTGGGATGTTCGCTTTCTGATATGCCTCTGCTGCATCAAAGACATCCATCTGCAGTTTAAAAAAAGAGAGGGGGGGGGGAGGTGAGATCACAGCCAATTCCTAGACAGACGCCCGTAAACAGCTCTGTTAGAACAACCGTGTTCTCCTCACCGTCTTTCCCGTTGGGAAGTGAATCGTTTTAGGAGCCGGCTTCCCGATGAATTTGTTTAACAGCTTGATGTTTGCAAAGGTGCCTCTTGTCATGATGGCGTCATTACCTCGCCGGGCGCCGTACGAATTGAACTCGCGGGGGGTGAGGCTAGAAAAGACCACGAGAGATGCTCAGAGGACTAGGTCTGCCTCCATATTCTGCTGACTAAGAATTCAGAGGGGAAATGAAGAGGCCCGCAATAGATCATCGGCGAGACTGAAGCAATCGCCTCCTTGAGAGAAGTTAAAGCCCGAGATCCCAGTATTTGACGTTTTTCTGTCTCTGTGGATAAAAGGGTTGTTGCACAAATCCTGACTCACAGCGAGAGAAGCGCACTGAACCCTACTTTAACCCGTCCTTAGTTATGGCGGCCGCTACTCACTGTACGCTGATAGAAGAAAGTAATTTGTTGAAGATCGCCTGGAACCCCAACCGATCTTCCCAATGTCCGTACCCTTTGCTCGACAAGTATCTGGCAGCCGCACTTCCTCTTGCGATGCTCCCGGCAGGTGAGATATGATCGGTTGTGACGGAATCCCCCAAATGCAGCAAGACGTGTGCGTTTTCGATGGATTGAACAGGAAGTGGTTCTTTGGCCTGTTTGATGTACAAAAGAACAGAAGTAAGGCAGCCTTCCCGGTTGCTTCATTCAACGCACGTTTGGTCATAAAATGGAAGCTGGCTCCAAAGAGGTTTCATCAGGCCTGTAGCCAGGATTTTGTGGCTTGTGCAGCAATTTTCCCCCCTGGAGGAGCTGAAGTTTTCAGTGCAGAAAGAAAAGCCGTTTAGCCGATAGAAAGCTGTTGCCAGGATAGATCCCTACACTGCAGGCTGTCAACCACTTTAAATGACAGTTCTCAGCTGCTGCAAGTTAATCACTCCTGCCAGCCTAAGCAACCATTCTGAGAACAAGCTGGCAGGTGGGGGTGATGACTTCTATAATCAAGAAAGCTAACATATAGGCAGAAAAACTCTCTTAAAGGAGACCAGTTTCTTGACAGAGAGTTAGAAGGGATGCTAGAGGTCACCTACTCCAACCCCCTTGCTCAGTGCAGGAATTAGTCAACTACAGCACCCCACGCTGCTTAAAGGAGTGCACGCCTTTTACAAAATGTTTTAAAATGATTGAAAAAAGGATGTACGGGAGAAATTCTTGTGGGGCTGTGTAGCTGCGGGCCTGGGTTTCATCTCTTTCTTAACTGTTCTAATCTTGTTGTATTTTATTGCACAGTTGTGCCTATGTAAGCCGCCCTGAGCCCGCTTGCGGGGAGGGCGGGGTATAAGTGAAATAAATAAATAAATAAATAAATCTCTGACAGTGTACTCCTTTCCAGTAAGGAAAATAACTAGACACGCCATTCAATCAGGCCCAAAATATCGCCCTTGGCTAGCACTGAGAGACAAGGTGGTAAATGAAGAGTGCCCAGACCTATCTGGGAGACCCAGGCTCGAATCCCCACTTGTGCCATGGGCCACTTAGTCTCTCAGCCTATCCTACCTAGAGATGTGAAGGCCTGGAAAAAACCCGGAAAAATTCGGGGAAAAAAACGTTTTTTTCCTGAAGCCTTTTTTGTTTTTTTCCAAAAAATTGGAAAAATTGAAAAAAGAAAAGAAAAGAAATTGATTATGGAACGTTTTATTTTAACATGATGAATAAAATATTTTAGGACAAGGTGTTCAAATATTTTCCAAATCGCCTCCAAATCGATCAATCTGATATATGGTATCAGATTGATCTAATTTCTGTGCACTGACAAGCAAGTCCTAGGTTACAAACTGAACTCTCCAATGCAAGAACAAGACGCATTTCTTCCTTTAGGAGGTGCTATTGTCATGAGAAAAGAAAAAGGTTTCAGTTTTGTTTTTGCATGTGGGCGGGTATTCTGTTTGTAATAACTGTTTGGACAAACTATATTTTTAATATGCTAGTTGTGATAATTTCATGCCAAGTAAAAATGTCCATAGTCATATTTTATGTTCCTAAAGTAAAAGAATGACTTTCAATCTAGAAAAGACAAAAGAAGTGCTAATGTAGCATTTTTTTCAATTTTCCCAAAAATTTCCGTTTCTCCCCAAAAAATTCAAAATTTCCCGAAATTTTACATCTCTAAACCTACCTCACACGGTTATTGTGAGGATAAAATGGAAGAGAGAATGATTTAAGCCGCTTTCGGTCCCCATTGGGGAGAAGGCGGCGGGGGATAAAAGAATCAAGTAAATAAAAATAATTTTAAAACACCGCCGATTCAACAAATGAAAGTTTGACATACTTACAAGCTTATCAAAAAAGGAAGGGCATCTAATGTACGTTGACTTCCAATCCCATGTGAATAAAACGGACTCCGGCACTTCTAGAGAATCCCACCGCTTGTTTCCTTTCTGCAAAAAAAATGGAGGTCACGCGTAAGGGTAACTGGGGGAACCAGTTCAGTTACCCCTCTTGCTTATACTAAAAACATGAATTGCTCAACATCACAGTGCTTAAAAAAGGTGCATAAATACTAGATTGGAGTACGTACTTTTTTACAATCAAGTGTTGAATATATTACAATATCTTTTAAAACAGAAATATTCCTGTTAAACTGTCTACCAGATCTTAGATAAGAACCATAGATACTTTATTTTACATGTTATAACAGCAGCTAGAATTTTATTCGCAATGACATTGGAGGACACTGAAAATCCCAACGCTTAATGAGTTGATAATGAAGATTATGGAATGTGCTGAAATGGACAGATTGACAACTATACTAAAAGGAAAAATGGAAGAAGAATTTATGGGACCATGGAGGGCTTTTTACGACTGGTTAAAACATAAGTACTGAGAAACTAAGATTAAATGGAGAACAATAAGAATGATGGTCACAAGAGTTGTGACACTTGTACGAGAAGATTTGCAAGCAGAATATTAAATTGGATGTTTTTAATATATCTCTGTAATCTTTCCCCCTCTTCTTTTCCCTTCCCGCATTTCTATGTATAAACTAATAAAACTCTTTTAAAAAATCTCTCAGTCTAACCTACCTCACAGGGTTGTTGTGAGGGTAAAACGGAGAACTGTGCATACCACCCTGAGCTCCTTCGAGGGACAGTGGGATAAAACTGCTCTGTCCTAGGCATCAAGCCTAGATAAAAATGCAACCCCTTTCCTTTGCGACTTCTAAGTTCACAGTTAACTTGCCTGCAATCCAATTTTTTTGCTCCCCAAAAATATCAGCTCACAGGTGTCTTCCTGGTTAAGAAAGTGGAGCAGGAGAAAGGATTAAAACACAATCCCTCCCCAACTACAAAACGGGGCCTTTCTCCTGTAGCACTTGCAAGTTGCAGACACAGAAGTCTCAGCATAATGTGCAGTCTGCCCTTTACTGGGCGACTCTGGACCGGTCACCGTCTCTCAGCCTAACCTCACTGACAGGGGTGCTGTGAAGACAAAGGGGAACACGGACGATATACGCTGCCCTAAGCTCTATGGAGGAAGGACGCAATAAAAATGTAATAGAGTTAACAACATTTAATAGGGAACCTCCACATTCAGAGGCAGTCAATCTCTGAATCCCAGTGCCAGGAGGCAACATCAGGAGAAGGCTTTGGCCACTCTGCCCTGTTGTTGGCCCTCCAGAGGAACTGGTTGGCCACTGTGTGAGACAGGATGCTGGGCTAGATGGACCACTGGTCTGATCCAGCAGGGCTCTTCTGATGTTCTTTTGAAGGCCTCGGCCTCTAGGCCCTGTTTTTGGCCCTCCAGAGGAACTGGTTGGCCACTGTGTGAGACAGGAGGCTGGGCTAGATGGACCACTTGTCTGATCCAGCAGGGCTCCTCTGATGTTCTTTTGAAGGCCTTGGCCTCTAGGCCCTGTTTTTGGCCCTCCAGAGGAACTGGTTGGCTACTGTGTGAGACAAGATGCTGGACTAGATGGACCAGCATACGTCTGATCCAGCAGGGCTCTTCTTATGTTCTTATATCATATATGTACAGTTAACCAACCTCCATTTTCTCCTTCAGCTCTTTAAACATGGATGATATCACTAACTCTTCTTCCGCCTGATGAAGCTCCTCTCTACTGGGCCAAATATCGTGCAAGAAGATGCTTTTGCCGGCGGGATCAACTCCTAGGGAAGAAATTTTCGCAGACGGCGACAACAGTCACTTCAAAAGATACCAAGGACATTTACATTCTCTTTGAATTACTTTTTTTAAAAAAATAAAAAAAACAACCCTATATGGACATCCAAACAGAATCAAGCTTTTAAGCCGTGCTATTGTTTATTATGTTGTCCTAGGACTGCTCTAACAGTGCAACTCAGATTCATTTCCTGAGTGTAAATCTCATTCTACGGCCGATGGGGTGGTGGAAAGTGTTGCCGAGGCACAGCCAACGGTAGGGTTTTTAAAGCAAGAGGCGTTCAGAGGCGGGTTTCCCATGGCCGGCCTCTGCATAGCAACCCTGGGCTTCCTGAGTGGTCTCCCATCCAAGGACTAACCAGGGCCAACCCTGCTTAGCTTCCGAGATCTGAGATCAGTCTAGCCTGCACCATCCAGGTCAGGGCAGACAAGGAAAGGTGGTTCTGTCATTGCCTGCCTCTGCGTAGCGACCCTGGACTTCCTTGCTGGTCTCCCATCCAAGTACTAACCAGGGCCGACCCTGCTTAGCTTCTGAGATCTGATGAGAGCAGTCTAGCCTGCACCATCCAGGTCAGGGCGGACAAGGAGAGGTGGTTCTGCCATGGCCTGCCTCTGCGTAGCAACCCTGGACTTCCTTGGTGGTCTCCCATCCAAGTGCTAACCAGGGCTGACCCTGCTTAGCTTCTGAGATATGAGGGGACCGGGCAAGCCCAAGCTATCTGAGACACAGCTCTAGCTTTGTGACTTTGCTTCTTTCAACATACCCTCTTGTACATACTTTTTGTTTGGAATGGGCAGAATGACATAAAGGTCCCAGTTTGCTCTCATGTAAACTAGGCATTTTTTTTCCTTTTTGGCAGAAGATAGAAGTGGCTGCATCTTGTTAACAAAAAGAAGCTTTGTTTTTGGGGCTTTAAAAGGCAGATAGGGAGAAATCTTATGGCTGTGCCATCTGGCCTACCCTGCGCGATCCACTAGTCGCTGTTTGAAGCTGCATTTGGAGAAAACCCCAAAGGGATGCTCGGAGTACCCATCTCGGCTAGGGCAATTAGTATTTACCAGGAGACAGGGCCTGCTCTGTGGTTGCCCCAACATTATGGAATTTACTTTAGAAGCTCATCTTTCCTCTTTGCTGGCCTCATTCTGTTTGCCCTTCTGCTTGCCATTTTATTGTGCTTAGGGTTAGGGGATGGGAAGCAAGCGATCGGAGGTCTGGTTTAGGACGCTGAAAGAGTTTGTTCTGCACTTGACTGGGGCATTCCAACTCCCTTTATTTCCCGTCCGGAAACAAATACGTTAACTTTCTTACGGACCCTATTATATTATCAGTGCTTCTTTTTTTTTTTAGCCTGGGTGAATGGCACTGCCTTGGGCGGAAACAGTGGGCCGCTGTGCTTAAGTCCCTCTAGCCCAGAGATTCTGGCCCATGCGGAAGAGCAGACATTGAATCACTGACTCATTTCTTCTCTAGTTGGTTCATATTCCACTCAAAGGGCTTGCTTTATGCCTGGACATGGATAGTCCAGGCCAGCCCGATGTCATCAGATCTCGGAAGCTAAGCAGGGTCGACTCTGGCAAGTCCTTGGATGGGAGACCTCCTTGGAATACCAGAGGCGGGGGCAGGCTTTATTCAGCACAACTCTCTGAATATCCTCCAGGCCCCCAGTAGGGGGCAGTCACCAGAGGGCGCCATGACTTCCAGGTGCATACACATACGCACATATAACTCCCCCCCCAAAAAAAAACCCAAAAAGGGAGGGGGGCTTGCTTTATAACACTGCTTGTTGCCGAGTTTCCTGTCTGCTAGCATGATTTTCACCTTTGATTTCTCTTGGCTGGTAGTGATCAGGGAGTTATAACTCTTTGTAATTACATTTATTCTTTCTGCTCTTAAAAGCCAGAAGAATGTATTTATCATCTAAATCCTGGGATTGATTCCCCCCCCCCTTTAAATTTACTTTTAAAAATATTTTAACGGTTTGGGATTTGCTTTTTGATTTGCCCACATACTTTAGCACTCGAATTTATGAACGGGATTTCTTATCCTCTGATTATTTCTCCCACCTGCTGCTGACAAATCAGGTTTAATAGTCCAAAACATAAATGCTTGGTTTGCCGACCACCCTTGGGAACTTTCAAAGGCTCCTTAAAAACGCTGTGAAAGCTTCTGGACGCAAGTCTAAGATTAAATACGAGCTCGGATGGGTGCAGTTACCTAATGGCTCAGTCTGGAAATCGATATTCACAGTCCCTGCTACAGCATAAGCCACGACCAAAGGCGGAGACGCAAGGTAGTTGGCACGGATGCAGCTGCAGAGGCGGCCTTCGAAGTTCTTGTTTCCGGACAAAACTCCACAAGCAACTAAGTCACCCTGAAAAGAAAGAAACAAAGGTTGTGTGTGTGTGTGTGTGTGAATCTGGGGAGGCTGAACCGAGGAGTCCACCCGGGTCTCAGCCTCCTCTGGGAGGAGCAAGGGCACCAAGTTCCCAACCAGAGAAGAGGACATGAGCTTGCATCGAGTTCTGCTTTATTGATCCTTATTACCAAAATATCGAGAGTACTCTAGGCCAAAGCTCCCCCTAAGCTGTGGAGTCTTGTGAGCAAAAATTCTCCTTTGAGAGCTACTGGCATGAAAGTTGTGAGCCAGTAATTTGGCTGCTGCATAAATTAGTCTGCGCTGGAGCCCCATCCTTCCTGAGCCGAGACAAAAATGTGTGAGCTGGAGGCTAAAAAACTGTGAGCGACCTCACACTAACTCAGCTTAGAGGGAACACTGCTCTACGCATCCTTTCCCCCTTTAGTTTGTATGTGAATTTGGAGGGTTTTTTGTTTTTTTCTGTTGGCAGGACCCAGGTATTGAAGGTCAAAGAAGACGGGGACGGCAAAGGATGAGATGGTTAGACAGTGTCATAGATGCAACGAACATGAAGTTGAGCAAACTTCAGAGGATAGCGGAAGACCGGAAGTCCTGGCGTGATCTGGTCCATGGGGTCGCGAAGAGTCGGACTCGACTGTGTGACTGAACAACAACAACCCAGGTATTTCAGGGAAGGAGGGTGTAAAAGAGGTCCTTCTCCTGCAGTAAGGGGTAAATTCCAAAATATTTTGTGGGGGGCAATTTTCTGATCAAGCCTGAGATATAATGTTGACCTTCCTTGCCCTGGACATATCCCTTAAGCCAGTTTGGTGCAGTGGTTAAGTGTGCAGACTCTAATCTGGGAGAACTGGGTTTGATTCCCCACTCCTCCACAGGCAGCTGCTGGTGTGGCCTTGGATCAGTCACAAGTTCTCAGAGCTGTTCTCTCAGGAGCAGTCCTCGAAAGAGCTCTCTCAGCCCTGCCTACCTCACAGGGTGCCTGTTGTGGGGAGGGGGAGGGAAAGGAGATCGTAAGTCCCTCCGAGACTCCTTCGGGTAGTGAAGGGCGGGGTATAAATCCTTCGGGTAGTGAAGGGCGGGGTATAAATCCCCCTTCTCTTCTTCTTGATTGTATAAGTCTCTGTTTTTATGAATTTTACTGTTAAAGTTTACTCCACACCCCAGAATATTTTAAATTTTTGTTCTTTTCCTTTTTTGGGGGGTGATATGTATGTAGAATGTATTGAATAAATTTAAATTGTTTTTTTTTAAACCTAATTAAAAAAAATTAGAGTAGACATCCAAGTTAATAAGAAACCGTGTATGCAAATTACCTAGTATGAAGAGAGAGAAGAGGAGATTGGATTGATATCCCACCCTTCACTCGGAGTCTCAGAGCGGCTTACAATCTCCTTTCCCTTCCGCTCTTTTCCAAGAACAGCTCTTATCAGAATCACGGCTTGCCCAAGGTCATCCAGCCAGGTGCAAGTGGAGGAGTGGGGAATCAAACCCGGTTCTCCCAGATTAGAGCCTGCGCACTTAACCACTACACCAAACTGAAGAGATCTCCCCTCGCTGGCCGCTATGGCTTCAAGCAGGCGATCAGGAGGCAGCCTCTACCCTTTGAAAAGCCCTTGTAGATATACCTTCTTGCTTCTGAATGAAGGCAAGGTAGTGCCAGAACAAACCCATAAACGTAATGACAACCAGACCCATCCTCTTCCCAAAAAAACACACTGCGAACCCTGAACACTCCTAGGTTATCGGAAGCAAGTCGGGAGACTCCATTTCCGGAGACAGGCATGACCTTAATCTACAAAGTTTTATCTATGGAGATGGCACGGCTCAGCACAGGAATGTAAACTCTGCATGTGGCAAAGGTCACAGCCGGGCACCGCTTCTAGGACGCAGGCGTTGTGCACACTGCTGCAGTGCTTCCTGGGAAGCACCAAAGTCTGTTTCTGTGAGAATGAGCTCCCCATGATCCAGAATTCTGCCACAACAAACATACACAAACACATTTCTCAGCACAATTTTCCTGTTTCTCTGCTGGATTTCCATGGCAGGGCTTTATTAGTAGCTCAGCTCTTTGTCTCTTAGCCAGTCGACAGGACAGTTTTTTTCCTGCTGTTAAGACACACCTGCATTATCGCATTCTGAATGGCTTCTGGCAAAGGAGTGGTATTCCCAACGCATGTAGAGCACCCATAGCCAATAACGTCAAATCTGTAGAGGAAAAGAGGGTTGCAGGAGAAGGTTAGCGGTGCTGGGGTGAACCCCGCTCTCTCGTTCTTTGCTATTCGGTCGTTGAAACACAATGACATACCACTTGGATTTGCCACAAAACCCATTTTTACCAATTTAAGTATTCACAAGAGGGCTGGGTGTAACTAGGGATTTCAGAAATAGATCTCGATGAACAGAACACTAGCCCACCTTTCCCTAAGCAGGGGCAACATCTTTGACTCAAAGAATGAATAGATTCTAAATGCAAGAAACACACCGTGACCAAAGGGTCTCTTGGAAACGTCTCATGAGCTGAGGGGAAATAGGTTAAAATCAAGTTTAGCGGGCAAAGTAACTAGCTCCTGGATTATGGACTAGGAAGAGAAGAAGAAGAGGGGATTGGATTTATACCCTGCCCTTCACTACCCAAAGGAGTCTCCGAGTGGCTTACAAACTCCTCTCCCTTCCCCTCCCCACAACAGACACCCTGTGTGAGAGAGGTGGGGCTGAGAGAGCTTTTTTGAGAACTGCTCATGAGAGAACAGCTCTGAAAAAAACTTGTAACTGACCCAAGGTCCTCCAGCCAGGTGCAAGTGGAGGAGTGGGGAATCAAACCTGGTTCTCCCGGATTAGAGTCCATGATCTTAACCAATACACCACACTGACTCTCAGTCATTTGAGGCAGCCATGAAACTGAAACATCAAAAATGGACCAGAGACCAGTAAATCTATAGTCTGTGCACTAGAACAATGATGCTCGCTCAGCGGCTTGGGAGCCTCATGTGGCTCTTTGGCATGCCATCCATGGCTCTTCTTGGCACTGTTTCCCAACAGGGCATATGCACCATATTCCAGGAAAGAGGGCAAGGCCCTTGCCTGCTGGGCCTTGCGGCTGCAGGGGCTTCCCACCTGCAAATTGCTGCCACTGGAGGAACAGATAAAGGGCATGCCTCCCAGAGGTACAGGCCTCATGCCGGGGGTGGAAGTAAACATGGCTCTGTCGTCGGCCAGCTTGACCAGTGTGGCTGAAGACTCCTCAGGAGTCGAGGAGCCATATGCAGAGAGTTGTGGACCAGCTGAAGTTAAGTGAGTTAGAGATAGGGGAGCCTCAAGATTCACTGCCGGCAGCTGACCTCGACCCATGTAGCTCACAAAGCACAGCTGCAGGAAAGCAGCCCACCAGCCTCCCCTTCATTAATTGAACAGCGAAGGGAAAGGCTCCGACAAGACTTGAGAACCCACGGGCAGAGTGCTCCCCTCTTGGCTTGGCGCCGGCTGCTTGATGATAACAGTTCTTAGTGCAGGAGCACCTCCAAGCAGGCTTGTTAAGGAACGCCTATGTAAGTCAGACCTGGAGAACTGTAGATTGTGGGAGCAACCTGTCACAACCCTGTGGACTTCATGACCACAGCTCTGGACTCTGCCTGCCTCCTGTGACCTTTAGACTGACCCTTGACTCTGGTTTTTAGACCTGCCAGAACCTTGCTGATCAACGACCTTGGGACTGCCTTGACTCTGCCGTCTTCAACAACCCATGAACTCTGACTGCTGCTAAACTGGTATTTGACCCCTGGACTGGACTCTTGGCTGGGATCTGGCTCTGCTGTGTTGTCCTAAGATCTGGCTCTCTCGCCTTGCCCTGCCCATATTCTGGGACAGGCTCTTCTGATCAACAGCAATTGTGAATGCAGCTCTCTGTGAGACACCGAATGAGTACCCACTGCACCAGAGGCGCCATGCTGTCTCCCCATTCCTGCCTTACAGCCCGTGCGCACTGGAGCTAAATTGGCCCTGAGGATTATACTTCAAGGACAGAGGCATTACATTAAGCACACACGGATAAGGCCTCGATACACTCTGGATATAGCTCTGCACATATTCCTTTTAAAACCTTCGGCATATAAGAAATCCGTACCCGAGTTTCTTGAGGTATGGCAGTACTCCACTGGAACTGAGATAATGCGTGACCATTCCGCTGCCGGGCGACAAACTCGTTCTTATATAAGGTTTAACCGTCAGTCCAGCTTCAACGGCTTTTTTGGCCAACAAGCCTAATGAAAAATATGGGGGGTGGGGGGGAAGAAGAAGAAGAAGAAGCAGAGATTGGATTTATACCCTGCCCTTCACTTGGAGTCTCAGAGCGGCTTACAAACTCCTTTCCCTTCCCCTCCCCACAACAGACACCCTGTGAGGTGGGTGGGGCTGAGAGAATTCTGACACAAACTGCTCTTTTTCAAGGACAGCTGTGCCAGAGCTCATGACTGACCCAAGGTCACATCAGCAGGTGCAAGTGGAGGAGTGGGGAATCAAACCCGGTCCTCCCAGATTAGAGTCCGCGCACTTAACCACTACACCAAACTGGCTCTCTGGGAGCCAGTTAATACAGATTTGGACAAAGAATTCTAGGGGGCAAACGGTGTTTTCCCTCCAAGCTGTGCATGTGAGCGACCCCTCGTTATTTTTTTAAATATATTTTTATTTAACATATAAAACAATACACATGCTACATTAATACAGGACTGATTACCTCCCCAAATAATGACAGCTTTTGTTTTCATCTATCAAACAAGCTATAACTAAAAAACCCACAAAACCTAAGTAGTTCTTAGGTACTGAGGAGTTCTGGCAGGTGGTTTGATTCGTATACTCAAAAGAAGTATACCATGTCTCTATAAACATATTTTTCCTATTAGGGTTCTCATATTAATTGTGAGACTAACTTAATCTGGATCATCGTCCCGTATTTTATCATACCAGGTTCAGTGGCAGAGCATCTACTTTGCATGGGGAAGGCCCCTGGTTCAGCCCCCTCACATCTCCATGTAGTAGGCGGTGTTCCTGCTAAGCTGTGTGCATGCGTGGATGCTCATTGACACAGGAAGCCCCGCTCAGCAGCAGTCTGGAGCCGCACGGGGTCTTGCGCTGCCCTCCTGAAGATTACGGCAGTTCTATCCTGCTCATGTGAACGGCTCTGCTCAGCAGGGGGGGGGAAGAAAATCAAGACAGAACATTGGCAGGGAACGCCCCGTGGCCTACCTGCTCCTAGCATCACAGAGGGGTTGCAGTTGTTCGTGCAGCTGATCACCGCCGCGATGACGACCGACCCGTGAGCCAGCTGGTACTCGTTCCCTTCGAACTCAACCGGAACGACGTCGTGCTGCTTCTCGGGGGGGATCTGAAAGCCTTTAAAACCGACCTAGGGGATGAGAAAGGTGACCACAAAAATCGAGTCTTTGCCACAGAGGTTTTTGCCAGAGCGTCCGGTGTTGCCAAGGAAACACTGATGTCACTACTAGCGCATGTGGGGAAGAGTGATGTCACCGCATCGCTGGAGCGGGCCGGCGAGCCGGCAGCAAGGACCGAGGATGGGGATCCCCCAGTGACAGGACTGGCAGCTGTACCTGCTTTGGTGCCCCAGCAGAAGTACCATGAAACTGCCTCTTGGACGTGGCCTATAATTTTTGAATCAGACACACAAAGCTGGAAGGGGTCTTACAGGCCATTTAGTCCAACCCCCTGCTGAATGCAGGATCAGCCTACAGCCGGGGTGGCTAAACTGCCGCTCGGGAACCACGCATATTGTGCAGCTCCCGGCAGGGCGGCTGGGGAAGTGAAGGGGAGGCAGGCCTCCCCAATTGGTCTTCCCTTCCCCAGTCGGAGTTCCCCTCCCTGGGTAGGCTTGAAATGGGGGGGAGCAGAGAAAGAAAGCAACTTTAAAGGCATTCTCAAAGCCCCCCTCCCACCGGCCAGGTTGGAGAAGGCATCTGTCTCTTTAAATCCCTTCGCCAAGCCGAGCCAGCTGGCATGGCGGTGGGCTTGGAGGATGCATTTGAAGTTAAAGTTGCTTTCTTTCCACCTCCACCTCCCTCCCCCCATCTCTTTGCTTACTTTGTTTCTCTCTCTCTCTCTCTCTCTCTCCCTTTCATTCTTTCCACCTCTCTCTCTATTTCTCTCTCTCTTAGACAAATGAATATCATTAGCAAACAAATAAATATTATCAATATCTTTTTTTACCCCTTTTGTTTTTATTTTTGTCAGCCTCGTTTAATGTTAGTAAAAAGCAAATTTGCACATTTCCCAATAAAAAGACGTGTGTTAATATCTGTTCACATCTTGCAGCTCTTGAACATCTGATGTTTATTCTGTGTGGCTCTTACGTTAAGCAAGTTTGGCCACCTCTGGCCTAGAGCACCCCTGGCAAGTGTTTGTCCAGCCGCTGCCTGGAGATGGCCAGGGAGGGGGAGCTCTCCACCTCCCCAGGTAGCTGATTCCACTGCTGAAGAACTCTTACTGTAAAAAAAAAAGGAATCCTAATATCCCGCCGGTACCTTCGAGAGAGCAATCGTGTCCCTCCTAAACCTCCTCTTCTCAAGACTGAACATCCCCCAAGTCCCTCAGCCTTTCCTCCTAGGGCTGGGTCTCCAACATTACAACTGACAGGAAAGAATTTATATCCTTGGGAGAGGGGACCCCATGACGGGATAAAAGAGGGTTCCTTTTCCAGAGAAGATATTATTCTTTCTATTCAAATCTATTGCAAGACTGACAGTCAAGACACACTTCAGCTGTGCCTACCTTCTCGTTTAAGCAGGCCTGGAAATCACTTTTCATCTCCGTGACGGCCACTCTGTCCTGCGCCCTTTTGGGGCCACTGACGCACGGCATTATGGAACCCAGGTTTATGTGTACGGTCTGACGGGGAGGGAAAGACAATTGGGTTAGCGATTGCCCCACAGTGTATGCATCACTGAGCTCTGGCTTTTCCCGTACGAGCCGACGGATCGTGCCAAGCTGCTGGAAAGCTCTATCAAGGCTTTCCGGGAATAAGGCTTGGATGACATTACAGAAGCCACGTTCTGAGCACAGCAAAGACTGGGCTGGCTCCGGCAGATCAGTTCGCAGATCGCTAGAGGAGGTGCTCTCCTTCTGCAGCAGGAGGCTTCCCCTGACTCCAGAGGCTCAAAGAGTTCTTTCAGCCCGAGTAAACTGCCTTCACTAGAGGAACGAATCTACAAGATCCACCACGTTTCTTCCTTTTACCTACGCTACTTTTTATGGTAAACAATTTTTTATTTTTTAAAGACAAACGTAACATAAAATGAGGGCATCCATTACCGCCTTAAATGTCTCGTTTAAAATTCTCATACCTTAACAAAACATTAATTTTTGTATATTCCACACAGTTCTCTTGCAAATATGTAAAAATAAAGGTTTTTATATCCTTAACCCATATTATATGTCTACATGTTTTATTTGTTATATTCTTCAATCCATTTATAAAGTCTTGACCAAGTATTTTCAAAAATTGTCTCCGGTTGTCCTTTCAGAGTTAAAGCTAGTTTATCCATTTCAGCAGTTTCCAGAATTTTATTTACAAGTTCTTCTCTCAAAGGTACTTCCTTTGTTCTCCAATATTTGGCATAGAGTATTCTTGCCACTGTTGTTACATGTATTATCAGATAAAAATCTTGTTGTTTACAATTTTCTGGTAAGATATTTAATAAAAATAATTCTGGTACAAAGGGGAATAGAACTTTTTAACATTTTTTGTAAAATTTCATGGAACCAAAACCAATATTTTTTCACTTCATCACATAACCACCACATATGATAAAAGGACCCGGCATTTTTTTGATATTTCCAACATACATTTGATACGTTAGGGTAGATCGTTTCAAGTTTATGTGGAGTGATATACCCTGTATAAAACATTTTATAAATATTTTCTTTATATGCTACTTCTTAACCAGGTTTGATTCCCCACTCCTCTACACGAAGCCAGCTTGGAGACCTTGGGACAATCACAGTTCTCTCAGAGCTTTCTCAGCCCCACCTATCTCACAGGTTGTCTGTTGTGGGGAAAGGAAGGGAAGGCGATTGTAAGCTACTGTGAGACTACTTTGGGTAGTGAAGAGCAGGGTATAAAACCCAACTCTTCTTCTTAAAGGATGGATATAAACTTTCACTGACAGAGGTATTTTGAAAGAGGCAAAGCCATTCTGCAATTACCTGGGAGTATTCAGGTTCTCCTGTGGAAAGCTGATCATTTCTAAATAGTTTCACAGTTTTAAGATATGCTTCTATGGACTTCAGCTTCACCTCGTCAAAGCCTAAATGAAACATTTAAAAACAAAACCAGAAAATATTCTGTTATGTCAATGCTCCCTCTAAGCTGTGGAGTCTCATGAGCAAAAATTCTGCTTTGTGAACTACTGGCATTAAAGTTGTGAGTGAGTGATTTGGCTACTGCATAGATTGCTCTGGAGCCATCCTTCCTGAGCTAAGATACAAATGTGTGAGCCGGAGGCTAAAAAACTGTGAGCTAGCTCAGCTTAGAGGGAACACTGGCTGTAGTAACTCCCCAGCATCTTGTATCAAAACAGAACAGAACTTTATTGGAAAACAGGCAAGGCCTGGTCTGGTCCCTGCTAGGCCACAACCACTCATAGCCACAGCAACCAATAAAGCAAATGAAACTAAAGCAAAGGCTTTTCCCTTAAGGCAGGGGTGTCGAACATGTGGCCCGGGCCCCGTAGGGCTTCTGTCAGGCTCGCAGTGGAACTGGCTGTCTTCTGCCTCTTCTTCCAGTTCTGCTGCTGCTGCGTCATCGTAGGTTTGCAGCTTACAGGTACACACCCGAACAGCCTACTCAAGATTGCAACAGCACAGACATTTTGATGCAGTAATTCAGAGCAAGAGATGTCCGTTATCAGACACTGTTAAATAAACAAAATATTGCAAGAGTGCAAATGTTTTAAGTATGTTTTTATTTTATGTAAAAAACCCCACCTTTATAAAGATTGTATCTCTGCTACCTGGCATTACATTTTATGACACATATGGTTCAGCCCAACAAGGTCTCATTTATGTCAGATCCGGCCTTCATAACAAATGAGTTCGACACCCTTGCCTTAAGGGATCATGTTAAAATAATATACAATACAGTAAGGGAACGTCGACAAATTCACCGCTCCCCATAGTTTAACATATGTAAGCACAACTTGTTTTTAAAAAGGACACAGATTCTCTACAATGTATAACAATACACTTCAGCTACTTGAGAAGTCAACTATGCTCTTGTAACTAGGCTTGCTACCAGGTTCAGAAGAACCTCTGTTCGATTTCACCCACATATTGCAGAAACAGAAATCTGGCAACTAACTGCTGGGCTGTAAACACACTTAATGAAAAAACAATAGCCAAATTAAAGACTGCCTGATGTATCATGGGACAGTTGGATAGAACGCCAGCAGTACAGCTGAAAACAGATCTCTGCACGAGAAAACTGTGATCCCGCAACGAAACACGGGGTGCAAAATTATAGTGTTCCGCAAATGGACCTTCTGGGAGAAACTCCGAACTTACCTCTATGCTTTAAATGCTTGAGTGTCACATTGTCGATAGGGAAAAAGCTCAAAATGGCACCGTACTCCGGACACATATTTGCTATCGTGGTTCGGTCGACTACAGAGAGCTGGGAAACACCGGACCCAAAGAACTCCACGAATTTCCCAGACACCCCCGCTTGCCTTAGTTGCTGTTAGGGAGATAAAAGCAACAAAAAACCCCACAGAAATATTGCATATGGAACAAGGAGAAATATGGTGGCGCCAAGCAGTTCTGTACTAACTACGCCCAAGGAAATGAACAGGGCGTGAGGGGGGTCATGAAGATGAAGAAGAAGAGGAAGAAGAGGAGGAGGAGAAGATTGGATTTATACCCCGCCCTTCACTACCCAAAGGAGTCTCAGAGGGGCTCACAAACTCCCTTCCCTTCCCCTCCCCACAACAGACACCCTGTGAGGTAAAAGAAGAAGAGATTGGATTTATACCCTGCCCTTCCCTACCCAAAGGTGTCTCAGAGTGGCTTACAAACTCCTTTCCCTTCCCCTCCCCACAACAGACACCCTGTGAGATAAAAGAAGAAGAGGAGGAGATTGGATTTATACCCCACCCTTCACTACCCAAGGGAGTCTCAGAGCGGCTGACAAACTCCTTTCCCTTCCCCTCCCCACAACAGACACCCTGTGAGGCAGGCGGGGCTGAGAGAGCTCTGACAGAAACTGCTCTTTTTTCAAGAACAGCTCCTGTCAGAACTACGTCTTGCCCAAGGTCATCCAGCCAGGTGCAAGTGGAGGAGTGGGGAATCAAACCTGGTTCTCCCAGATTAGAGTCCACGCACTTAACCACTACACCAAAAGAGAGCTAGACAGACAGCAAGCACCACCCCCTGCTCCCAGCAGCCCTCAGTCACAGCGAGAAGTAGCCAGGTAAGTTGCAGAGCTCCCACCCCACACCAAAATAGTCCAGTGGCACCTTTAAGACCAAATTTTATTCAGGTACAAGCTCTCCCTCCTCTGCGAGGACAGATCTGCACGTCCCCGTCCCCCCAATAGCTAGCAATCCAGAACAGTCCAGTGGAGCCTGAGCGGTGGGTGTTGCCTTCTGACACACTTCCGGTGATGTCAGGGGGTGGTGGCACATGCAAATGAGTTATGCTAATGAGTTATGCTAATGAGCCCCTCCACCTCTTTTTCTACGAAACGACCCCTGGCAGCACTGAACATGCGCAAAGATCCCAGCTGGAATCCCTAGCTCTACAGACGGCCTCGTTATCTCCCCTGCATCGCTTCTGTGGTCGAGAGCTTACAAAACCCCATCCCTCCCGTGGGAAAAGAACCCAGAATTCTCTGGAACAGCTTGCATAACAAGAACTCGGCGCAGAGACGGAGCAGCCTCTGATTTACCTTGGTAATGCTCAGGACGATGTCTATTGATGTGGCGAGCGGGCTGGCCGTGCCCGTCAGTTCACACCCAACCACCTCAGGTAAGGCGAGGGTGACCGGCATTCCCAGCATTACCGCTTCTGTCTCAATTCCGCCGACACCTGGAGGAAGAAAAGACTGCCCTTTAACGGCTCGTTAAAGCGACTGAATCATCGCTCAACATGAAAGAGCCTCCTTGTAAACCCCTTTGGCCTGAAGTTAAAGGCTGCTGAACGTTTCACGGCGAGGAGAGTAATAATAATTACTCGTCATCCTCGTTTTAATCGCGCTGGAAGGCACGCGCGCTGCGCTGCGGACCAAACGGTGTTGAAGTCCTTCGAGATTTAGGCCGCTGTTATGGCTGCTGTCAAGTCGTGGCCAATTCATGGCAATCCTGCAGGGCTTTCAAGGCAGGAGATGAACAGCGACGGCTTGCCCCCCCACTGCCTGATTTTGCGTTGCGTCCCTGGACTTCCGTGGTGGTCTCCCATCTAAGTACCAATCGAGGCTGGCCCTGCCTAAGCTTCTGAGATCTGATGAGATCGGGCTAGCCTGGCCCATCCAAGTCAAGGCAGGAGACATTGAGAGGTGGTCTGCCACTGCCTGCCTCAGCATCACGACCTTCCTCGGTGGTCTCCCATCCGAGTACTAACCAGGGCCGGCCCTGCTTAGCTTCCGAGATCGGCTTAGCACGCAGGATTTAAGTAGCACAGTCCTAACAGTCATATGATAACCGAATTCTAAAAAAACGAACAAAGAGCAACACAGTGATGGTCTGGAGTTCTTTTCCATCATTGCCTTAATAACCACCGAGAGGAAACTATCTCCTCCTTCCACAAATACTTTCTTCACACAAGTAGCTCCGGGAGTGTTGGCTACAAGAACGGAGGCAGTGGAGCCAGCTGCGGGCTGCCCCAAGTATTATTTCGGTAGCGGTGCCCCACTTACATTTCCCAGAGATGTCTATTTGGAACCTTTCAGGCACCACGTCAAGAACTCTTCACATGCCAGAGCTTCTCAATACGATGCTGTGTCTTCTTTAGTTTCCCTACTATTAATGATCTACTGTTTCTGTCTGCTGTAGTGGTTAAGTGTGTGGTTCAGTGCGCAGACTCTAATCTGAGAGAACCGGGTTTGATTTCCCCACTCCTCCACTTGCAGCTGTTGGCGTGACCTTGGGTCAGTCACAAATATTTCAGGGATTGATGGGGAAGGCAATATTTCAAAGTAGGAAGTGGTACTGGCATAATGCTGGTGGTTTGAGAGAGAGTCGGTTTGGTGTAGTGGTTAGGAGTGCGGATTCTAATCTGGGAGGACAGGGTTTGATTTCCCCACTCCTCCACTTGCAGCTGTTGGCGTGACCTTGGGTCAAGTCACAAATTCCTTCAGAGCTGTTCTCTCAAGAGCAGTTCTCGAAAGAGCTCTCTCAGCCCCACCGACCGCACAGGGTGTCTGTGGTGGGGAGGGGAAGGCGTTTGTAAGCCATTCTGAGACTCCGGGTGAAGGGCAGGGTATGAATCCAATCTCTTCTTCTACTTCTCTTAAATTGTTAATTGTTTTAGTGGGGTTATGATTTTTTCTCCCTATGGTAAGCCACCTTGAAAGTTTTGCAGGGCAAAAGTCACTTCGATCAATAGAACGTGTTACTTTCCAGGAACAAATAACCCAGCGTGTTATGTTCTTTCCCCCACTTTATCTGGCAGCACGTTGGAGGCTTTGCCTGAGGGGGGGGGGGGGGGGTGTCCCAGAGACAACCCCCTCCCCGAAGGAACTGACACTGGAGTCGCTACAGACCCCAGATATCGTCTCCAATAGTGTGCTCACGGCCTGCCCTGTCCCAGGGGCTCAGGGCAGCTAAAAGAATTGTACAGATGTCTATGTTTGTATATTAATCCATGACTACTTTGCCTTTCTCCCCCCGCTGGGGACCCGAAGCAGTTCACGACGGTCTCTTCTCTTCCGCTTCACCCTCGCAACGATCCTGTGGGGAAGGTTAGGCTGAGAGAGTGTGGCTGGCCCGAGGTCACCCAGCAAGCTTCCACGGCACGAGTGGGGATTCGAACCCAGTTCTCCCAGAGCCTAGTCTGATGCCTTAAACACTACACCACACTGGGTCTATGTTTAGTCTAAATGATGTTACATAGACCCAAGAGGAAAGGGGGGGGGGAAGTCATGAGGCAGAGGGGAAAACAGGGTGAGAGTCAGCCACTCATTCGCCCTCCAACAGGTCCTTTCCTAAATAGACAAGAAAAGCTCAAGATCAAAGTATTCTCAAGCGTGAGGGTTAAAAGGAGGAGGAGGGAGGACAAGGGGACTGGATTTATACCCTGCCCTTCACTCGGAGTCTCAGAGCAGCTTACAATCCCCTTCCCCTCCTCTCCCCACCACAGACACCCTGTGAGGTAGGTGGGGCTGAGAGAGCTCTTGATAGAAACTGCTCTTGAGAGAACAGCTCCGAGAGGACTTATGACTGACCCAAGGTCACACCAGCAGCTGCATGTGGAGGAGTGGGGGAATCAAACCCGGTTCTCCCAGATTAGAATCTGCACTCCTAACCACCACACCAAACTGACTCTCTCTCAAAGCACCAGCATTACGCCAGTACCACTTCCTACTTTGAAATATCGCCTTTCCCATCAATCCCTCAAATATTTACCCCCCCTTCCTCCATGAAGCACATATGATTCTCCCCTCCTCCACTTCATCCCCACAACCACCTGGGGGGGGGAGGTTAATTGAGAGTCACTGACTTAGTCGGCTTCGTGGATCAGTGGGGATTTGAACCCAGACTCCCAGCACTCTGGCCACTACGCTACACTGCTCTGTCTCTGTACTTTTATTTAATTTTTTTTAAAATAGCATTTTATTGAGTTTTATATATTTTTACATCCTGTATTACTTGTTAGTTTTATACAGTATCTTTCAACAGCATCTAATAACCAAGAATAGTTATTATTTATTTATTTATTTATTTATTTAATTCCATTTCTACCCCGCCCTCCCCGCATGCAGGCTCAGGGCGGCTTACATTAAGCATCCTTGCTGGGATACAAGGCAGCTGATGGGAAGAAGACAAGAATCGCCACTGTGCAGAAGTCACAGTGAAACGAATGGACAGTTAAGTGAGCGGACTTACCCCATCCCAGGATTCCCAAACCATTGACCATCGTTGTATGGGAATCGGTGCCAACCACGCTGTCCGGGTAGAGGAAATCTTTAACATCGAACACCACCCTGGACAAATACTCCAGGTTCACCTGGTGGGCCATTCCGGTCCCAGGAGGAATCACCGAGACGTTCTCAATCATTTTGGAGCCCCACTAGTTTATTTCAAAAGAGAGGAGGAGGGGAATGACAAATCAGTTTCAGGTGGTCTGAGCTGGGCAAGCGTGAGCACTGTTAACTTTGCACACCGACAAGTAAATCACAGACCTTTTAAAAACACTTTCTATATCTATTTGGGTGGGGGGAACAGCGATAAATTTTAATGTTTACAAAAAAACTGCCAAAGAATAACTTGGCAACTATTAAGAGTTAAAAAACAATATCAACGTGACAGCTGATAACACGAGTTTCCATTTCACACAGTCATTACTTTTATTTACTTATTTTTTTTAGCTTATATCCCACCCTCCCCGCAAGCGGGCTCGGGGCAGGTTGCACAAGTCGGCTCGGCGAACGTCGCAACTGTAATATACAATTACTAGGTAAAGGTAAAGGTTCCCTTGCTCGAAAGCCAGTCGAATCTGACTCTAGGGGGCCGGTGCTCATCTCAGTTTCAAAGCCGAAGAGCCAGCGCTGTCCTAAGACGTTCCCGTGGTCATGTGGCCGGCATGACTAAATACAATGACTAGGGTTAAAATAATACAACGGGATTGAAACAATCTAAAACCAGTCTTGGGTTAGGGCATCCAATGACTGGATGATCGCCTTGTAGGCGATGCTGCGGTGGGAAACTCGTTTGGCGGAGTCTCTGGGTGTTTAATCACTAAACACATCTCCACATCGCAGGGGAGGCCCGGGTGTAATGGATGTCTGGCGGAACAGCTCCATTTTACAGGCTCTGCAGAACTCTAGCGGGTCCTGCGGGGCCCTGATCTCAGTTGGAAGCATGTTCCACCTGGCTGGGGCCAAGGCAGAGAAAGCCCTGGCCCTGGTCGAGGCTAAATGGACATCCTTCGGGCCGGGGACCACCGGAAGATGTTGACCTGCAGAGTGCAGGGAACATAAACGGCAAAGGCGTTCCGTTTGTCCAGCGGTTGCCAACGTGGTGCCCGCGGGCGCCACGGCGCATGCCGACACCTTTCCTCATGTCTGCCAGGAGTTTTTCCTTCCTTTAATGTTGATACGGCTCTTTTGGCCACAGCCTGAAGCCTAATCACACATAGAGAAAGAGAGGGGAAAAGTCACTACAGTCGTGAAAGTTTTTTTTAATTCCAAGAATTTTTAGAAAGTGGACAGGGCCAGTGGGGGCTTTTGTCTAGGAAAGCTTCTGATCGGCTGTGTGGATTTTTAAAAACTGCTTTGGCGGCAACTGCCACCACGGCACCAGGATCGTCACTGCGAGACTGGAGGGAAGCTGCGGCGGCCATTTTGTGGCTGGCTCCGCCTCCTGCGGCAGCTGCTTTGTAGCTGCCGCACAAGGCGGAGC